ACACCAGCCCCAGGGCCCCATTAACCCCAGCCCCTCCCTCACCGTGGGTGGCCTTGATCTGCCCCTGCACACCCCTTCCCTCTCCTCCTGCCCTTTCCTCTGCTTAGACTTACCAGTTTGGTACTCTACACACACCAGAAGAAAAAATCCTGAGATTTGATCTCTATCAGGAGATCATGAGTCAGAGCTAATTTGACTTGGAAATCAGGAGTCTCGTGATTTTTTCATGACAGTTGGCATTACTGCCAGTGTACGGCTGCATGCCAGGGTCATCGACTGGGGAGAAGTGGTGCATTCTCCTACGGGCCTGCTGTAGGGTTCCCATGGCTCTAAAAGAGCTAAATTTGTATCTGTGGATGGGATTAAATCCAAATCTGGAATCTACCTCAGTATTGGGACCCTACATCCCAAACCCCAGGTTCAGCATTGCAGATTTGCCTGGGATGAGCAGATTCACAAATGAGAAAAACTCAGCCTGCAGAGAGAGAGGTTTGCTGGGAGTTGCAAGGGTTGGTAGGGTGGCTGAGTGGGGAACTGGAAGGCAGGAAGGCCTTCCCCTGCTTTGCTACCATCCCTATCACACACTGTTTGCCTTTACTCCCAAGTCAGAGGATCCCAGGAAACTATTTATATTCAGTGACACAACATGTATATTTTTCCCATAAGCCGGTGAGAGCTGATAGCAGAATGGAAGGTGACTGCTTTTTTTTTCTTTTTTTAATTTCTGCTTTGTTTTAAATGCACAAACATTTTTGTAATGCGGTTGATTTAGAAACATGGCCCTAGTTTTCATCTCAGTTGCATGGGTATAAATCAGGATTAACATCACAGAAGTCAGTAGACTCTCACCTGGGGCAAAGAACTGGTTCTCTTACTTTTGTAGTCAAATGCATCATTCAGCTGATATCAATGAAAGTCTGATCAGGCTCCTAAGTACATTAGCCAACAGTAAAAACAGTCCTAGAGCCAGATGCTACAAGTCAGTAAGTCTAATTATTGCAGGTGACTTCAGACCAGAAATCAGCTGCACATTGTTTAATAATGAGGGTGATCCATCATTCAAACAACTTAGCTAGAGAGGTGGTAGATACTCCGTCTCAACGTTGTTCAGTCAAGACTACGCATCTTTCCAGGAGCTATAGTTCAGGGGCGGCCAACCCCATGCATGTCACATGTGCCATGAGTGACACAGGCAGCCTCTGTGTGTGGCATGAGGCAGATCAGAGGGGGAACAGCAACAGATAAGGCAGGGAGCAAAAAGTAGAGCAGCAGATTAGGCAGGGGAAGGGGTTTGAAGTGGCACTTGAGGAGGATGCAGATTTTAGCTCATGGCATGCCTGCCAGAAAGAATGGCCGCACTGCTGTAGAAATAAGGATTTACAGCATCTACCAAAAATGAGTATTTAATGCAGACATTGCAGAGTGAAATGTTATGCCTTATGTCATAAAAAGGGGTAAACTGGATAACTGAAAAGGTCCCTTTTCCTATAGAAATGTATGCTTAGAGTTAAGCACACATATAAGTATCTGCAGGCCCTTAGTGCAGGATGAGGACATGCATCTATTTTGGTATGTACTAGGCCTATGGTAGATGAACTGATTCAACTCCATGCTGAGGGGTGCAAAATGAGCCCAGGCATTCTGAATCCTACATTAGATCCTGTCCCCTTGACCCTCCTTTTACATCCTGTTATTAAAAAGGGCCAGATCCTGTACCAGCATTTCCACTGCCCGTAATGAGTATTACTCCCATTACCTTTAAGAAGAGCAGAGAGAGTTCAGCACCACACGAGTAACTTGTGTTAGCAAAATCCTCTACGGTTGTTCCACACAGGTGGATCATTTTTATCTTCTTACCTGTAAAAAATGAATGTTAGTGCAATGCTTTGAAAATTCTGAGTAGCACCTTAGAGAAAGAAATTAACCCACTGGTGGAACTAGCAGGCATGATTTTAATTATACAAGTTATTTGCTCAGTGTTCATTTACATAGCTGTCACCTGACCATAAAAATATTTGCTGATTCCTTCTGCTGCAAGGGTGAAGCCCCTAATGACTGGTACAGTGGCCTGTCATTGTTAGCGTGTGCGAGGGAGGTGCCAGGATCTTCCCCTAGAAGAAGTGGACAGACCTGGATTCACTGAAGCATCCTGTGGGGATTCTGCTGTTGATTTTGATGGATTTGCCCCAAAGAATGGAAAATGAGGCCTGTAAGTGCAGCAGTCAAGAGAAATCCCCTTTACACGTGTAGTTCAACTGTGTTAACCTAACCATTAAAAACACAGTCCCATAGCACACAAATGGCCCTGCTGGCACAGCTCAGACAAAACTATTTAAAAATAAATGTTAAGATATTGTGAAAAAGATGCCAAGTGAAGGAGCGCAATGAGAGCCACTCATGCGATGCTGCCTAACAGTCTCATCAGGTCAGCAGGCTGTCTCGACAGCATTTTCTAAGACTCAGAAAGACATGTGAGACAGACCGCACAGACGTGTGAACACCACCGACCGCATAACAATATCATAGCGTGCAACCACCTTGGCTATTCAGTACTCCTGTAACAGCTAGGAACTGTGCGTAACCTCCTTCCAGAATTGAGATGCTGCTTTGTAAGAGCTGATTTAATCAGAAAGGTGTTGCAAATGATTTTGCTGATCTAGCTAACCCAAAACTACGCATAGTCTGCTTCTGAACTTTAGCACCGCTCCAGCCAGCTGGGAGCAGCGTATCTGCCTGCGTTTCTTCTTAGTTAAGGGCAGAATTTTCAAGCAACCTAAGGGAGTCATGAATTGAAATTGTGACCAAGTGTCTTCTTCACACAAATATTGCATTTGTTCTCCCTAATTACACACAGTCAGCGGGAAAGTCAATGAAAATTGAGCACCTAATTCTTATAGGCCCCCTCAGATATCTGCCTGGATAATTAAAAAAAAAAAAAAAGCTATTTTATTCATAGAGGACCTGACTCTAAAGAGTAAGAAGGCTGGCTTTGTCTTTAGTGCATGTAGATCAGGGCCTAAAAGCAAAATATGTGTAAAACTCCCAACAGCTGTGCATGTTACAGGTGGACAGAGAGCACTATGTCTGCTTATAAATCAGTTCAGACTTGCCTTTTCATAGGGCAGTGCTATTTAGGACTCAGGGATTTAGCGATAGGAATAAGGTACTTAGCCATTCATCTCAAGGTCACTAGTTCCCATTAATCTCATGTTGGTAGTGACTAAAAGTCATTACCACGTGATCAGTAGCCTATTTGAAATGAGAAGCGTGGTTCAAAGTCAAGAGGTGCCCATGACACACAAAGCCCTACCACAACTGGTTACTACTGGCAACCTTGGGAGAAAGCCGTGCTCACTTTGTAATTTTAGACAAAGACAAGCCAGACCGTCAGCTGAAGTCAAGGGCATTATGCCAAATTACATCTGCTCAGTTATAATTCACAAGCAAGGGGGGGATTTGTTTTCATTACTTCATTTGCTGAGAGACTGAGGCAGTGCCTCCGAAAAAGCAAATTCCATTATTGACTAAAACGATCCTATTTATAACTCACTGCTCCCCACAGGACACGGATGGAGCAGAACAGAGAATGACATTTATTCAGGCAGGTGAAGATGGCTACAACGCGGGCTGCTGCTTTCCTAAAATCTTGCTAGTAGGCTACAGCTGGAGAAGAAAATGGTATTGGGCTTTACCTTTTTACATGATAATGGACACCTGTGACTGTATTAGTGTTCAGTGACTCATTTTATGGCTCCTGCTTTGTTTTCTGTGTCCACATAAGACTGAATAATGGCAGGGAGAAAAATGACGGTTCATGTTCTTCCTGTAAAGGATAACGGTATGATGTAGGTGGTATGACACTTTAGGCCTAAATTCTGCAAATCACTGCTTTGTACATTGATGGGGGAACAGCTTGCAGGACTAGGGCCTTAATTAATAACTACTCCAGCCCTGACTACAGAGTAGAGGGAAGACTTTGTCTTGTTATTCAAGCAGATAAAATATTTGAAGAAATGATAAAAAGTTGCTCAATATGTTAGCTAATCTTGCCCCTGATTCAGCTAGGTATTCAAGTATGTGCCTAACCTTAAACAAAAATTACTCCACTGGTGACAAGTATGCATTTTAA